CAGGAGTTGGTTAACATCAGAGAGCTGTGTAGAGATGTATGTAAAGTAAGTTGGAATTCAGACCAGTTCCAAGTCTCTTATCTGCTCAGCAAGTGAAAATACCCAAAAGTATGGATTGGTGCCATTTGGTGGTGGCTCAAGTGCTGATAACAGTAAGCACAGAGCTGGAGTGGTGCCTTCACTCCAGTCGTGGCTCTTCATTCCCAGTCTAGGGCCAGAGCTGGAGGATCTCTTGAGGTTCCTTCCAGCCTTTTGGGGTTTAAATTCTCCTAATGAAGTTGAGGTCTTTGGGGTTTTTCTCACCTTGGTTGTTGAGTAGCTGTGACCAGTGTGGGAAGTGGGGAGGACTGCAGGAGGAGGAGGGTGATGCCCTGGTTGTGATTTCGTCCTCACTTCTGAGGGATGTCACCAGCCTCACTTAAAGGACATTGTGTCTGTGTCAGGCTTTGTTATCCATGAACTTAGGAGGGACCTGTTCTCCTTTGGCTGTGGTACCAGAGCTCTGTGTGTTGTTGCCTCTGGAGTGATAGAAGTGGCACAAAAATGAGATGAGATGCACAGATTTTGTGGGCAAAGGGATTTGATTGTCAGACTAACTCTTTCTGTTGGGTTTAGTGGTCAGAGTGAAGTCTGGTGGCCTGAATCCAGATCTGTGCTTCGGTGCACTGAGCAACACTTCAAGAAATGAGCTGTTAATAGCTCAGTAGCATCCCTAGCAATGTGATTCAGCTCTGCTGCTTTGCTGTTTGTGGATTCTGACCTGGATGTTCTTACAGATGGTGGCTGTGCTGTTGAACTGCATTGTCCTTGTGCTGTTTGGAAAGGGATTAGTAAAGTCTTTTAAAAATTTTCTGGGAAACATTTATTTTCATATATATATATACAGGCATCAGATCCTCTTCTGTGCTGCTGGTGTCTTTTCTACTTCAGAAAAGACAGATGTGCTACTTGAAAAGCCAAGTTGTGGTATTTTTTGAATACCTTGTGCATTTTTTTGGAGGTGGTAAATTGTGCAAACCTCTCAGGTCTAGTCCTCACTTGGGATGCTCCAGGGTTACAGGGATTTGCTCATACTGTTTCTGAGGATGGTCAGTAAGGATATCTTTCTAAGATTCCTGCTTAGATTCCAGCTTGTTGCAGCATGATGTGACTCCTGTTCCACATTGCAGTGACAAGGTTTAGCATCTGCACCAGATGTAAAATGTTTCCATGTGACCAGGAGCAAACAGACACTCCTGAGAAAGGGATGCAGGCTGGATCGCTGGTAGTTGTCAGAAGCAATATCTATGCATTCTTTATGGAAGTTGGGTTGTCTGATACTTATTTTAGGATTTGCCTGACTGAAAATAAGAGCAAAGGCAGGATCTGAGTGTGCAGGATGTGTACAGAGGCCCAAGAAATGTTGTGGGCCATAGGGTGTAGCCTCTGCCCTGTTGCTGGTGTGTAGTGTCCCGTGGGTGTTGCTTGCAGACTGACAGGAATTCCTACAGCAGCACCTGGCCAAGGATTGGTGGTCTCCAAAATGCAGGAAGGTGGAGGTTCTGAGCTTGCTTTTGCCTAGGCAGAGAGGATGGATGTGTCCCGTCCCCATCTGGTTGTCACTAGTCACTGGTGTGTTTTGACAAATGCCAAACATCCTTGCATAATATTTTACAGTTCTGTCACACCATTCTGTGCAAGGTCCCATTCCCATGGTTCTGTCCCTGGTTGCCTTCACCTCGTGTCATGCCATAAGTGGTTCTGTCACACAGCTGTGTCCCAGAGGAGACACTGTCCACTCAAGAACGGTCAACATTCCACTTTGTCGCAGTTCTGAGTAGTTTATGATCGGTTTTTCAGTGCACACCTCCCCCCCAAAAAATCCCCACCAAGATTTAAAGTTACCAACCATGCCCTGACCCCATTTTCTGTCATCCCATGTCACACCAGTGTGTCCCTACCCACGGCTGGTTGCATGTTCTCGTAGTGTACTCGTAACTCCTAGTTGGTGTTTGCGCTTTGCTTTTGTTTTGGAAATTAACTGAGACCTACGTTTTCAAATCTTAAGGAAATGTTTCAGTGGCTTTTGAGCTGCAGTTTTGAAAAATGTAAATCTTTTTCTTTGGCCTTGTCTTTTTGTGCCTTTGACAGTTTTTCACACACACGCTGAGGACAGATTTTTAGCCCTGTTTTCTCAAAGTCTGGTTACATATTAATATGTACATATTAATCCATGTGCATTTTACTGAACTGTCCATTTAAAATTGACCCTAGTGACCTTATTACCAGTCTAGCTGCAGCACGAGATGTTAGTTTGTAAGGCTAGAACGCTAGGAAGCAGGAAAAACTGAGAGACAGCAAGCAGAGAATACAGAGAAAAGTGCCATGCCATTTGAAATGACAATTACATTGTCATTTTCATTGTGAACACTTTTAGGTTCTATATTGGCTGTGATCTTTGTACTAACTGGTATCATGGAGAATGTGTTGGCATCACAGAAAAGGAGGCTAAGAAAATGGATGTGTACATCTGTAATGAGTGTAAACGGGCACAAGAGGGCAGCAGTGAGGAGTTGTACTGTATCTGCAGAACACCTTATGATGAGTCGCAGTGAGTTCGGATCAGAACCTCTTATTCCATGTCTAGGTAGACAACTGCTCTGACTGTGCTTTCCTGTTCCTTGCCGAGAGTTAAACCACCAAGTGACCCTGCACATTGTTGTATCCGTCCCTAACACCAATTGCTGTTCAGTAATTGTCCTTCCTCTCCCAAATGTTTGTGTTGGGGAATATGTGTAGGAAGAGGGAAAGTTTTCAGGGTGGTCGGAATGTCTTGTTGGTGTTTTAACGACAAAGAACAAAACGCTTTAAATTGGGATTGGTTTCCTTTATTTGCTTTGTAACGTGGGATGGTTAGAAAGATAAAAAGATAAATGTGTTTAGCGGATTGTTTTGTGCTTTAATCTGATCTGCCTGGAAAGCATGATTTGAGTATGGGGTGTGTGGTTGGGGTATGATTATATATATCTATATATATATCTATATCTATCTCCATCTCTTACTGTAAGGCTTTGTGTCACAGAAGTCCCCTCCTGTATTCAGTGGCAAGACTGAAGCATCCACATATTCATGTTTGTGTGGGATGAAACGAGCCCTAGTTGTAGTCCAGTTTGTGCAAAATGCATCTGGAATTGTTTGGGTACTGTTTGGGTGAGGCCTCTGCCTTTACACTGTTCCTTTCACTCTAAAGCACAGGAATGGTTTTTCAAACCTTGATTGCTTCAAAGTGCTTGGTACAAAACTTAGGATCTTGAGATGGTTTGTAATTTAGCCTTTTTGTAAGCACAAAAGCAGTTGGAACAGTCCTTAGACCTCGTCAGTGTGAGATATGCCATCTCCTGCTGTGTGTGATCCTGCCCAGTGTGTGTGTGTGCAGGGCTGGGAGGTGCCCCTGGCGTGGGGCAGGTGGAGCCTCTCACACTGCTGTGGCTGTTGCAGGTTTTACATCGGCTGTGACCGGTGCCAGAACTGGTACCACGGGCGCTGCGTGGGCATCCTGCAGAGCGAGGCTGACCTGATCGACGAGTACGTGTGCCCTCAGTGCCAGTCCACTGAGGATGCCATGACTGTGCTCAGTCCCCTCACCGACAAGGACTACGAAGGGCTGAGGAGAGTGCTGCGTTCCCTGCAGGTGAGGCACAGGGTTGCAGCTCACCTGGTGGGGCCTGGACCAGGGTTTGACTCCCCTTGGTAGCTCTGTCATGCAAAATGAACAGCAGAGACTTGGAGGTTTGTGAGGTGTGCCACTGTGTCAGCTGCAGACTTGCTTGGCATTACTGTGCTGAGCAATATTTACACTAATTAACACACCACTGCTGCTGCACCAGTGGAATCAACAGTCTCCTCAGTGGGAGGCCTTGAGAGGAAGCAGGTTTAGAATCCCAACAGGCAGTGGGACCCTGACTGCACAGGGTGTGAAAGGTGCAGTGTTCTGTTCTCAGATCAGTTTGCTGTGGTGTCTGATCTGCACTTGTGTGCTTAACTCAGAGTTACCAGATCTCAGCAGTGTTCTCACAGCAGGTGATTATCTGTGTGTATCCTAGTGATAATTACATCACTGTCTGCCACAGTGTCTTTCTGGTGTATCTGTCACTCCCAAATAAGATTTTTTCTGCTACAACTCAAGAATTTTTCTCAAATAATGATGTAGTAACCAAAGTCCTATAAGTAACATTTTGCATTGTCCTGTGTTTTGTGTACATATATGAAAACAAACTCATTTTAGAGTACTTGAAAGCACTCTCAGTAAATTCACTCCATCTGTTTCCACGCTGCCTGTTCAGCACAGTGTCCTGTTACGTCTCAATGTCACCATTTCCTGGTGTGAAGCACAACAACTTGGTCACTGACATTTCAAACTTTGCTCAGGCATCAGATGGGAACTGGGTACTTTTTCATAAAATGCTGCACTTCTTCCTTAAATCCAACTCCAGACCCCACCAGATAAAAGGATGCTGAAAATATTTAGCTCTTCATCGTGCTGATTGAACTTGCTTTGATTTTTAATTGCCTTGTTTCCTTGGCAGGCTCACAAGATGGCATGGCCCTTCCTAGAACCAGTAGATCCCAACGATGCACCAGATTATTATGGTGTCATTAAAGAGCCAATGGGTAAGTGTCAGAATAGCCTGATGGAGTAGATTTGGGGGTTTGGACATCACATTCCCTGCCTGCTGACCAGTCCCAGGCAGAGATCTTGGGCATGTTCTGCAGAATACACAGTTTGTGCAGTTAGGCAGGTGAAACATTTTTCACTGGTATATTTAGGAGTTCATGGGGGTTAACTTACCCACTTCTAGGCTGATCCTTCACCCTGAACACTGTCAGTCTAGTGTGTGAAATGTGGAAGTCAGTGCAGCAGCAGGACAGAATTCTTTGGTTTAAATTACTTTATTTCAAGAGGACAGTTTTGTTGTGTTTTCCTTTCTCTGTTTCTTTCCCTCTTTGTGTCCCATTTCCTCCTACAAAGTTTGGGATACACACTGCAGAGGCTGAGGAGGAGGTGCTGCTGTGGGAGTGTGATGCACCTTAAGATGGGGTTTAAAATTCCCTTCATCTCACTAGATAATGCATAGAATTTTGCATTCCATGTAGTTTGTCTTTAAAGCTGCACAAAGTGGAGTGAAATGCTGTACATGAGGGGAGAGTGGAAGGGGAGATGCTGCAGCTTTACAGTGCTCTGATCTTGTTAGAGCTTAGCAGTTAGCTGGGAATAAGCTGGATAAGCACTTGAATGTGAAACCTCCTGGGAAAATCTGATTCTGTTGTTCCTTTCCTTCAGGTGATTGAAGCAATACTTTTTCATATCTCTAAATGAGACCCAGTGCATCATTTGAGCTTTCCCACCTACTCCTCAGGAGTACTCCTTACTCATCCTAGAAACAGGAGAGTTAAATTCAGTATCTTGGCAAAATTTGGTAGTATGTTGACAGAAAAGAATATTTTTGTGTAGAAATTGTGTCCTTTTCTGTTCCAAAGTTTTGGAATGTGCCATTAGAAAAATGCTGAGCAGCTCCTATTCCGTAATTGATGGGTTAAAGTGTATAAGGAAAGCTCAAATAACCACCTGATTAAACACAGTGATACTGAATGGAGAAAACCAAAGTGCATTTAGCCCTTTCTGATTAAACACAATGATACTGAAAGGAGGAAACCAAAGTGCATTTAGCCCTTTCTGACTTAGCTGGGAGGAAAAGACACCAAGTTTCCAAGTCAATCTATGTGGGACACAGCAGGTAACCTAGGCCCATCTGCAGCTGTTTGCACACATTCTGCCATTGCTGGTGCTTCAAAAGAAGCACTTTAAGGACATTTTCCAAGGGCAGATTGTTGGATGATACTGAAAGGAGGAAACCAAAGTGCATTTAGCCCTTTCTGACTTAGCTGGGAGGAAAAGACACCAAGTTTCCAAGTCAATCTATGTGGGACACAGCAGGTAACCTAGGCCCATCTGCAGCTGTTTGCACACATTCTGCCATTGCTGGTGCTTCAAAAGAAGCACTTTAAGGACATTTTCCAAGGGCAGATTGTTGGGTTTTCAGACAGCTTTACTTAGAACTGGCAGGTCTTGTTCCTCCCTCTCTTCTTAATTGATATTTGCATCAAAATAGGACAACCCTTCCCTTCATTCCTGTCACTCCAGGTGTCTGGGCAGTAAGGGTGAGAGCTCTGGCATTTTGCATGATCCTGCACTTGAAATCTCCTTCATCTGTGCCATGTGTGATGTGCATATGCCCCTGAGAACTGATAAATCATTCAAAGCAAGTCAGGTATTCAGAAGAGGCAGAAGGTGTAGGTAACTGTAACGTGTCCATGTGGTGACTGAGTCCAGATTGCCTCACCTTTTGGCCCTGAGTTTCTCCAGGTAAAGCAGGGAGCATCCTGCAGCAGAACCAGGTTTTCCCTGATCGTTTTGATGCTTGCATTTTATTTTATTTAGCTGCACACAGCACATCCTTGCCTAAGTGTCTGTTCTGAGGGAAACCCAGTGGTGAGACCAGTCACATTCCTGGGAAAGCAGCTAACTGGACAGGCTTTGTCTTGACAATATAGACTTTCCTGAGGGTGAAATGTCACTGAAATACTCTCTGGTTTCTCTCAAGACCTTGCCACCATGGAGGAAAGGATACTGAAACGTTACTACAAGAAGGTCACAGAGTTTGTGGCAGATATGACCAAAATTTTTGATAACTGCCGATACTACAACCCCAGTGACTCTCCTTTCTACCAGTGTGCAGAGGTTCTGGAGTCCTTCTTTGTACAGAAACTGAAAGGATTTAAGGCAAGCAGGTAAGCTCCAGTGCTCCTGAGCACAGATGGTGTGTGGTGCCCTAAAATCTTCTTCCTATGCTTTGCTCACCTCATGTTCCTGTGGGGATTTGCTGCTCTCTGCACTTTCTAGTAAAGGAAAGTACATCTGTTCTAGAGCAACCAGCTGTCGTTTTTGGCCAAAGTTAAGGCTTACATTGGGTTTGTGGAGGTTGCTTTGGAATGGTTATTCAAAAGAAGCTGTTAGATGGAAATTTGGGCACTATCATAACTGTACAATAATTGAATGAACTCATTGCTGCAGAAAACTTCATGAGAATAATGTCTGATCAGGACAAATAATGTCTGAGTTCTGGTGATGTTTTACTCTGCAGTAGACGTTTCTCATACTGAGAAGAGACAATCCTGCCCTGGAGCTTATAATCCTATGAAAGAAATTGAAATAGTTCAGTTTTACTCTTCTCATCTTTTCATAGCTTATCACCTTTGAAACGGGGGGAGTAAGTAAGGTTTAACGTAGGATATGGAAAATCAACATAATTTAAAATTTCCCTTTTAAAATCAAATTTTCCTTTGAAATTTTTGTCTCTGTATAAGGGCCAATGAAAATTTGCCTTTTAAAATTAAATTTTCCTTTGAAATTTTTGTCTCTGTATAAGGGCCAATGTAAAGTATTTCCATTTTATACATCCCTGAGAGAGGATATACCTCCCTACTGGGAGTTTGTTGCTCACCTCCTGTAACACACACCTGGGAGTTACATCCACTAGGAATTAACTGTGTTGAAAACTTCACCTCCTGTCAGTGCTGTGGAAACTGATTTTCTGCCTGCACTGGGAGTGCTAAGGAACAGGAGATCCATGAGTCACTCCAGCATTTCCTTTTCAGTTTCACACTGCATTAGTGGGTTTTGTCACGTAGTTTCACCCATGCTCTGTCACTGGCCCTAGCTGGTCCCAGTGCTCACACACTGATTTCATTGCTGCATCTTATTTGTTGTTGTTTTTCATTTATACCACCCATGTTCTTTCTTTTCTTGCAGATTGTGATATCTTTAGTCTGAACTTTTTAACTGGAATCAGAACTGGATGTTGGGGTCACTTTGTTTTTATTGTATAATTCGATGACATTAAACTGCCCTAAAAATCCAGAGCATTTGTCTCAAAAAGTAAACGTTGTTGGGTTTTTGTTACCAGCAGCCAAACTGCTGAACAGAACTGTGTTGGCAGAGCATTGTCCCAATCCTCAAATACTGTATGGAGAAAAATGAACAATTCACCTTGGAAACCATGTACTTTGTTTTATTTGAAGTCACTAATAAAACTGTGAATGTCCAAGAGGAGTTTTTGCTGAACTCTGATTAGCAAAAATGTGTTTTTTAACATACCTGTTCAGTTTTTTCTATTAAGTTAATCCAAAGACTTCTTGAATGAATTGAAGCGAAGTAGACCTTATTATAAATATTCACAACTAAAATTGTCTTTTTTTGCTTGCCTGTTGATGGACTACTGTTGTGTAAATATGGGAGTAAACCTGATCTCAGGCACGGGGAATATTCCAGTGCAAGTACTGAAATGTTTGTATGCTGTAGGAGAAAAATGTGCTTGTTTCAGAGAGAATTATTTTGAGTGTTCTTTTGTTTTTGGAAGGGGAAAATAATAAATGGAAGCAACATGGTGGTAACTCCCTGATTGTGATTTCTCCTTGGCAACACCTGTGTTCTCCACACTGAAGGATGCTTAATTCTTCACTTTCTTCTGTACTCTGCAGGTCCCATAACAACAAACTGCAGTCTACAGCTTCTTAGAGCTCAGCGTTTCCCTAACACTCGAGCAAGGATCTGGTTGTCTGACAGTTTTAACTGAGGAACCAGAGGGTTCAGTCAGGTTCTCCTGACGAGACTCCATGTACACTGCGTTTCTGTTCAGTCAGATTCTATCCTTGGCTTATTTTGTCCAAAGGACAAAGAGATAAAAATCAGCAGCACCACTTTCTTGTCAAGATCAAATTGTTGTACTATTGTGGCAGAAGCAGGAGAACTTGGTTTTGGTGAAGGAGAGAGAGAAAGAGCAAGAGAAAAAAAAAGATACAGTAAATGGGGTCACGTTTAACTCCATGGAAATGCCACGTCTGTTCTTCAGTGAAGAAGCTGGTTTAAAGTCCACACAGAAAACTTTGACTGTATTTATTTATTGTTGCAAAAAAGACGCTTTTTTATTGCTGCCCTCATTTGTCAGCTAATTATTTTTTCTTATAAACCCCGGCCCCGGTTCCATGTAATCCATTCTGTATCTTAACATGATTCCTGTAGGTAAAAGTACAAGAAGACCTCTAGATGTCTTTTCTTTCTATGAAAGGAGCTGCTATGTACACATGTGCACACACACAGGACTGGGAATCAACAAGGAGTTTATCACTCGTGGCAGATGAAGAGAAGTTTGCAAAGAGGTTGGGCTGAGCAGTCACAGACTACAGACTCTGTTGCCTTGAACATAACAGTACAATTCGTCATTTACTCTGCACCAGACCGAACTGAGTAAAATCTATTTGAAGGTATCTTGTTTGTAAACATTTGTCAGATTCTAATTTTTTTTTTCTTTTGTATTAAAATTCAGAATATGGATGTATATGAAATGAAATAAATGGAGATGATTGTTCTCCCCCCAGCCGGAGGTGTCTGTGTGCGCCGAGCCAGGAGAGGGTGGGGATGGCCAGGGAGCCCCAGCCTGGCTGGCCAGGGACAGTGGGCACCAGGGCTCCCTCCAGACCCTTAGGTTTTGTGGTTTTGTGCCCTTGGATGTTCCAAGTGACTGTGGCACACGGAACAGGTAGGAAGTGCTTTGTGCCATGGCTCTGCCCACCCTGAGCTCAGTGATTCTTGCCAAGTGCTCTGAGCGTGTAACTGTGTCCCTGCCCTGGGAGCCATCCTGGGCTGCCTTGTGTGTCCTGAGGGAGAAACTGCAGTGCAGGAAGGTGCCAAGTGCAGATGGTTTGGCTCTTCTCTCCAGTCTGTGGAACTGACTGGTGTTTCCTGGCTGTAGTTCCCAGCCCTGGTTTGGCTGCAGCTCCTCTCCCACCTGAGCAGCTTTTGCACTAACTCACAGGTCACTTCTGTTCTCCCGTGCTCTGGGATTTACCTGATTTATGGATAAGCTCCTTTTGAGTCTAACCTCACACCTTGCTATGCAAGAACCTCGTCTGGTACTTTTCTTACAAAGATGTTGCTACTGACACCCTTTCTTACACTTCAGCTCAGGTGTTCAGGTTCTTCTGGGGGATTTTATCTACTAAAACCCTGTGTGTTTTGTACATACAAATGTTGTCATTTAATTGTGAAAATTACTAATTGTTCAGTGTGGAAACAATGATCCATTTATGCTTCTGAGACTCACAGAGGAGTAGTTGCATTTAGGTTCTGTTGTCCTTTGACAAAATGCTGCACATTGTAAGCATTGTGGGTTAATTCGACAAGGAAAAACTCATTTTTCCACAGCATTGGGACACATCCTGCATCTCATCCAACCTTCACAGTATTTCTGGACTATTTATTCATCTATAAACCCATATGAGATGATTCAAACCCTTCCTACCTGTAGGCAATAGATTGCTGTTTTTAACAAACTGTGGCAAACTGCAGAGTACTTTTTTTGTACCTTATAGGACACATCATCCTAGACAAATAAAGTAATGTGTTTGACATGGATTTGGTGGTGTTTCTAATGAAACATTTGAGGTGTTAGCAGATAGAGGTCTTGGCTTTGCCAGATTATGTATAACTGTGAATCAGGTTGATTAGGGAAATAATCCATAGCTGCAATTTCACTGTGCTGGTTAATCACCCAAACCATTCTGTGATTCCATGGGAGCCTTAGGCAGTGTGTTCAGTTGATTGAGTAGGTTGAGGTACTTCTGTCAATTTATTAGTGATGATCTTTTATAGCTAAATGGTGTCACTGAAAGCAAATCACTTGTAATTAACCCTCACCTGCCTTAAAGCTTGGTAAGTTCATGAGGTTTGTGATCTCTGGTCAGTCCTCTTTGTATTTTATAAATTATTGCAACATTTGCTTTGAAATGGTTGTATGTTGTAGCAGGTACTGATAATGTGAGATGTACCAGCTTGGTTTTCCTGTCTGTCTCCTCCAATTTAAAGCAGTTATCGTCAGTCCTGATTTAGTTCCTGCAGAAGATAATTACCCAAAGGCCTCAAGGAAACCTGTGAGGAGTTGGGAAGATGTCACTGTTCCTGCACACTTGGATTTCTGTGTATTGGCTCCAGAATTTTCATGCTTATCCTGCTGGGGAGAAAATTATTGACTGTGAGGTGTCAGAATTCCTGTGGCAGCTCTTGCACGTGAGTGTCATCTCCTCAGGGTGGTTATTGCTGTCAGGGGTTGGGATCAGTGAGTGCAAGACTGAAAAGCTACTTGATCTCAGGCTGCAACAACAGTTCCTGTCCTCCTGCTCCTGCTCCAGCTGTGTCAGCTGGGCTGAGACACACAGGGGATTGTTCCTCAGCTGTTGGGGGAACAGTTTATGGAAGGACCTTCCAAGCAGGAAGGGAAAGGTAAGAGAAGTTGGTAATGCAGAAAGAGAACACAAATTGCTCTTCAGGCTGCTGAGCAACAGCTGAATCTGAGTGTGGTGTGGCAGTTCCTGGCATTGACTCTGGTGTCCTGCTGCTCATCTCTTCCCAGAGAAACTGTGGGATACATGTTGGGGTTGTACCCACACCTCCCTGGGATGGATTACCAGAGCAGGAAGGAGGTTTGGCTGCTGCTCTGGGCAAGGGGATGCCTGTAGGAGTTGCTGGTTAGTCCCTGGATTTGGGCTGAAAATAGAAGCAAAGACACTTGAGCTGCACATGTAACCCTTCTCCTTCCTCCTCCTGTCCCTCCCTCACTGCAGTGCTTTGATTCACTGCCAGGACAGTCCATCTGCCAAAGTCCCCTCAGACTCCCAGGAAAATTCCATCTGTCCATGCTGTGCTCCAGGCAAAGCCTTTCACGCAGGAGAGGTGAGTGGTTTTTAGGTAGCCACATGCTCAGTACATTTCCCTCCCACAGGAACAGCCTTTTGGGCCCCAAGGAGGGGATGTTTGTTCTTGGTATTTGGCTCCATCTCAGGAAACACTTGGTGCAGTGTGACCTCCAGCCCATCCCCTGCCCTGTGGCTCTTCAGTGACCCTAAATGAAGCTGCAGAGTGTGTGACAGGTAAAATGTGCCAGAACTACCTTTGCTTCGTGGCAGGAAATGCTTACAGAAGCCACTGCTTCCTGGATCAGGTCAGGTCATACCAGGGTGTATGTGTTTTTTGAAGCTATACTGCTTTTTTTTCATCCTCTTAATATAAACATGTATCTTCAAATCCCTAGTGGACTTGTCCAGCAAGGAGATGCCTTTGTTTGATATCATTACATAAGTCTTGGGTCTTGCAGAACCCAGGAGACAGTGAAACCAGAACCTCATGAATTTTATTAGTTTCTTTTACAAACTGACTGGGAACAGCAAACACTTCCAATCCCTTTGCAGCCACTCCATAGATGCTGACATCCCATGTTAAAGGTACTGAGAGATTTGATCTTTGATTTGAAAAGTGGCTTTGCTGATGTGCAGGTATAAAGTGGGTGCTGTTTCTCATGGGGAATGGCACTCAGCACCCACCTCTGGGGCTGCCCATGGAACAGGCTCTGCCTGCTCAGTTTGTGTTCCTTGGCATGAACCTGAGCTGTTTAGGCTATGCAGTTCTTGATTTGTCTTCAGCTGGTGTGTTCATAAACTCAAAATCTGAGCTGTGCAGTTCTTGATTTGCCTTCAGCTGGTGTGTTCATAAACTCAAATAATGACACTACTCTGTGTGCTTCGTGTGAACATCAGCTCTGTTTGGGGTGATGTAATTGTGAGTAGCACAGATGTTTGAGCAGACACCAGTACAAATGATAGTGTTGTTGCTTTCTCTTGAATCAAACCTATGTAACACTTGCAGAATGGTGTGGAAACAGTGTCCATCCTCTGTAGATAAAGCTGTGCTATCATCTAACGTGTTCAAGGTGAAGGGTTGGGAAGTGCAGTTGTTGTGTACCTAGGGTGAAGCCTCCAGAATTTTCCATTACAGTGACTACAGGTGACTATGGGTACTCTGCAGCAGGGGAGGCTACACTGACCTGAGCTCTGAGCCAGCTGAACAAATGCATGACCTGTCGCCATTCCCCAGAGCTGCCCAGTGGAGACATCGGTGTCTGCTGCAGCACCAGGGTGAGTGGTCAGTGAGAACTCCTCCTGTGTGCTCTGGATGGAGTCCCTGGGCCCTAGGGACACTTGGACTGTGCTGCCCTCACTCTCTGGTCCCTTTTCCTGTTGAATCTCCTGACGTAGCTGGAGCTGCTGCTGAGCCATCCGTCCCCCGGGCGCAGCCTGGCGCGCAGGGCCGCGGGCACAGCCCTGGGCAGCTGCCACCACCGCAGGTAGATCCGACCCATCACGATGTACCTGCTGCCTGCAAAACAGGAGGAGAGTGCTGGGCCCTGGGAGCTCCCTGGGGGCACAGGGACAGGGTGAGGTGGTGCAGAGCGTGGGGCTCAGCACAGCAGCACCTGAGCTCTGGGATTTATTGTGCTGCTGTGGGAAGTTTTTTGGGGAATACTGCTAAACCTGGATTTAGAAGGAGAACTGGGCTGCTCACAGACACCAGCTGAAGCTGCTGCATTGGCTCCATATCTAAAGCATTGCTCCTTTTGTGGGCAATGCTGAAAACTCATAATCGTTTTGAAGCTGGATAAAGTCAAGAAGGGACTATGCTGCCACTTGACTTCTGTGTGTGTTCTTTACTGGAAGTTGAGAAACTGGGATGGGAAAAACCCCTTTACTTAAATACTTTTTTCCCATTTTTTTCCCAACAAGCCTGGATAAGCCTATTAAAGCAGAGCAGACTAAGACTGCAGTGCACGTAGAGGAATGGAGGAATGGATTTAGCTGGAGTTATTTACCAAGTTTCAAGTCTGGACACGGTTTGCTGCAGTTTAGAGTATCCACAAGCAGGATGTGAACTCTGAAGAAAGAAGCATCAGGAGTGACATAGAGGCGACTCATCCTGTAGAGGCCTTGGCTGGTCACCAGGAGTGTGATCCAGTGCACTCCACTCCCCAGGCTCTCCGTGTTGTGAACAATCCCATTCACTGCTGGTTCAGGGGAAGAAGAGCAAGGATCAGATTGCACATGGTGGTGGCAACTCTGGTACGTGTGAAGGTTCTCAGTTACAGTGCTCTGAAGGAAGTGTCAGCAGAAATCCTTTGGCTTAGTACTGAGCAGTAGGAGTTGCTTCAAATCATCACACTTGAGGTCACTGCCTGAGTTTTTGCTGTGTTACTAACCTTTTTACAGGTCTGAGATGTTTCTTACTGAACTTCATAAAATGTTCCAAAAGAAAGTGATGGTTCTGGTACAGTTTTCTATCCTGATATATACAAACTGGATGTATTTACCTAACAAAGTAAAATGTTCAAGTTTAAGACTCCCCAATGAAGTACAAAGCTGAGCTGGTAGTGAAACACTTCAGCTTTTGAGAGAAAAGGCCTTGGAACCAAGAGACAAACAAGGACAGCAGTGCTGTGCTGTGTACTCAATCACTTCATGCTTTCCTCCCAGTTTCTGGCTCTGCAGGAGCTGGAAATCACCACCCTGTTAGGCCTGGAAGGCAAACAGTGCAGCCACAGCTGGTGCTGCACCTGCCCCACACAGGGAGTTCTCCAACTCATCTGCTCTTTAATTTGCATTGCAAATCTAAAGAAACCCAAAGCTCTCTCTGCTCACTGCAGTGGAACCTTGGCTCACCTGTTTCTCAGACTTTTTCCTACCTGTCCTTTTCAGTTCAGGAGGAGAACAAGGCTCTGTTGGTTGGGGTAAAACACACAGAGGTCGGTTCCTGTGGAGCCTCTGCTGGACAGGAATGCATGAGAGTGGTGAAAACCAAAGCAGAGAGCATTTGTGGAAAGCACTTCCTGACTCCTCCATTTAGGGAAAACAGATGTCTCCTAACGTGTTTATGTTCTACAAATGGAAACATCTGTTACCACTAGGCTGTATTTTCCTTATCTCTTAAAATACTGTGAGAAAAAGTTGGTATGTGTTTCACAACTGCGAAGGCTCACGGCAGGATTTCGGTCAGAAATGCAGTGCTGAAACAGGCAGCACAGAAACGAGGCTGCTTCCTCCCACCCTGGGCTGCATCAGCATGGGCACGAGGGCTGAAGACCCCAAATCCCAAGGAACTTCAAGAAGAATCCTCTCCAGAGAGAGGATCAGTTTCATTTCTGTTCGGTTCACCATGTTATTTTCATTTCAAACTTCAGCCCTCAACATCAAACTTGCCCTAAGGAGTAAGAGGTAAGTAACACAGCTACAGTGTTTAATCTGAGAGTAATCTAAAACATTTGCTCCTTTTACTTCCATTGACCAGTCCCAAAGACACTTTTCCTCCCAGGAGTAGAAAGCAGAGGAAGTAGAAAAAAGAGCACGACTAGCCCAAGGTCGGGAAAGGGCAATGTAAGTACATCTATGAAGAGCTGTGATAGATCTTTTCAGTGTACCTAGTCATTATTTAGCATACTTCTTTGTCTTGTAAGAGTGTTTTTAGAAGCAGAAGTGCAGCAGATGAGCAGAAGAGCTGTGTGTGGGTCGTGGAGGACACAACCTACCGAACTCACTGGTGCAATAGGCCTCCACTTCATCCTGCTCCTTCCTGCACTGGGCCAGACACTCCTTGTCCTGGTCACCACCTGGAGGAGACACACAGACTGAGGGACACCAGTTCCCTCCCAGCCCTGCCCCTTGGGAAGCTGCTGCTGCCCTGGCAGAGCAAAAGTCCCTCGCCGGGGCCGCGCGCGGCGGTTGGTGAGCCAGGAGGGTTTGGGGAGCTCGGGGAGGAGGTGGCTGTGCTCGGGGGGGGTTGCCTTGCCCGGTCGGTTGAGGTGGTGCAGCAGGTTGGGATCCCCTGGCTGCACTGCTGCAGGGCCTGGAGCAGGGAGAGGTGCCAGCCCAGGGCTGAGGTGGGAGCGAGCGACGCTGTTGGCAGCCTGTGCCCGGCGCCGCTCCGTGTGCCTCCTGTTGGCTTGGCTGGGCCCAGGGGAGGCAGGAGAGGACCCTCCAGATGGGACCCCCAGGGGCACAGCCCATCCCTGCTGCCACAGGGGCTTCCTCAGCCCTGTGCTGTTCTCCAGGGAGGACTCGGTGCGTTTCCTCTTGTCTGGCAGGAGGGAGATGGTTCCGGGAGGTTTTGGCTGCTGCAGGTGTGCAGGAGGCAGGAGCCAGTGCCCCATGGCATTGCTGCTGCTGCTCTGGGCTGGCACCTTCCCCTGGGCAGGTGCTGGACTGAAAACATCTTTGCTGAGAGCCTGAGTGGGTTTCTCGGCGTTGGGCAGGGATCCTGCAGGCAGGGAAAAAGAGAGAGAAAATTGGCATTTTAGTGCTTTTATTCCAGGTGCTTCCATGGGAGGATTTGAGGCTCTAGTCCACAAGTGAGGCCTTCAACAAGAAGACAGTGTAACTGATAAATGGCTCAAGAGATGAAATATAGTAGAGCTCCTCATCGTCCTGTGCTCATTGAAGGCCCAGGACAGGGGATGCAGCTGTGGGAGCAAAATAGGAGATTTGCATTTTTACTTTATTATTGTTGCAAATTAAAACAAACCCTTTCCTCAACCCCCTGGATCTCCTGGGAGCATCTGAGGAAACAAGGTTCACGTTGACCATTTGGGATGCTTGTTTAAAAGACCATGACAGCAGAACTCTTTGGTTTTCCCATCCATGGGATGTCTTATTGACAATGTCATCTGGACTCTTTAGTGGCTTTCAATGCTACTGGAAAGATCTTTAGCCACAGGTTTGGATCTCTGGGTTTTGCACTGTGGTAGTCCCATAGCCTGGTAATGAGGCTATTGCTCCTAAGTAACAATTATTTCAAGGGTTCTCTTAATTTAAGAGGACAAGGATGGAGAGAGAGGAATTGTCTGGGAATCCAGTGAAAAATAACTTACTGACACTGCTCACACAAACTGGGTAGTCACCTTGGCTTTTGTTTCTACCTTCCCCTTGGTCCCTTGGACGTCCCAAAGCAAAATGACCTTCTGCTTGGCCTGGGAAGAGAGAAAATTCTCCTTGCAGCTCATTTTCCTTTTCCTCCAGCCCTTTGCTGCCTGCCCTGAGTGAGCCAGCAGAGCTCACCCACACACAGCCACTGTCTGGGTGTTCAGCCTGTGGTTACTCCTGTGTAGGAGGCTGATCCTAACTCTGTGTGTGAAAAGAGATCTCTGACATACACAGATGAACAACGTCCTGGTTTATCTCCTGTAACTGACTCAACTGCTGACCTTGCCACTTCTCCCCCTCTGCTCTCACCAGCTGCTGTCATGGGAAAGATTCCCTGATATTTGGGCTGGCCACACGTACAGTCCAAAGAATGTCCATGGAGAGCAGGGTGGAAGAAGTCCAAGCTGAAGAAAGCAGCAGGGAAGGGTGTTTTGGAGAGGGTTCAATGTGAAGCTGTGCACTCTGAACAGGTGTTTCAGCTTGGGTTTGTAAGTATAAACTTCTCCCAGTTTATCATTCACTTTCAGTCACAGATTGTATCGAGAAATAGTTCATTTTTCTCTATGCAATCTGTTCAGGACCTCAAGGTTTATTCTATATCCACATATTCCTGCCTAGCTCTTGCAGCCTAAGAAACACAACAGCAACACAACCAATTCCCAGCGGAACAGACGTAAATCTCATTTCTGTTGCACCAGTGGTGCACTGAAAAGCACCTCAATGGGCTGAGCAGAGCTGTGTGCAGGCTCACCCCACAGCACAGAGCATGCTGCAGGCACTCAGCTGCACTTCACAGGGGAGGACAGAGCACTGAGAGACAAAGGTCACACAGAGTGTTCCAGTCCCAGCTGCAGCAGCAGCTCACACCTCACCTGCACAGCCCCTGGCAGGGCTCAGGGCTCCTGCTCTCTGCCCTTGGCAGGTGCTCTGAATCCTCCCCAACACTGACAAATATTGCCATTCACATTCCCATCCCACAAAATGTTTCTTTCTGGAGCCCTCGTTGCTGCCACTTGCTGAAAACACTAAAGCTGGAGAGCTGCTCAGGGAAGGAATGTCTCTAGCCTCCCCTGATTCCCAAGGCAAATATTCCCCAGCCTGCTCCAAATGAACAGACTCACCGTGCAGGGAGCTGGAGGATGATCCAATGGCAAAGCAGAGCAGCCAGAACACTTGGGATGTCATTTCGAAGTGAAGTCTCTCCAGGCTCCAAATGAACTGGAGTGTTTAATGCCCTTCCCCCGGTCCATGCTAATGAGAGGCAGCCTTAGGGGAAACGGGAATCACTCACTGGACAACCCACTGCAGCAAGACCAACTGCTGCCTCCACCACCCCTTCCCAGGGGATGTGCTGTCCACATGGACACAGCTCTGCACTGCTGCAGCACCTGAGTGCTGGGAGTCACACACACATCCCTGCTGCTA